GCTACGCTCATCCTATGAATATATTATTTCTTGACCGCCCAACATTCTGTCCCATAAAGTGTGGCTAGTCTAACAATTGTCATATTGAACTTCCCCTTCAGTCTCAATGATATGCAATGATTACATAAGATTCCGGATGCACATTTTCACTGCACCCTCTAACTCTAATTCTATATGCGACATCTTCATCAATATCTCAATTCTCGTGGATTATCGATCCTAGATATCGGAAACAATATCTTTTAGATATATATTGACCATTAATCTTAACTACTTCCGCATTTCTACTTTTATTATTACTAAACTTGTATTCTATATATTTTGTCTTAGTCCACCTAATTTTAAAACCTTTATATTCTAGAGTATCTTTCCAACATTCTAACTTTATATTAACACCTTCTATAGTCTCATCAATCAAAACTATATCATCCGCAAACAACATACACTACGGTACTTCGTTTTTTAGGTGACTGATTAACTCATCTATAACCTAAACAAAGAGATATGGGCTCAGTCTTGAACCCTGATATAGGTCCATAATCACTAAGAACTCATTGGTCTCTCAGCAAGTTGTCCGCATACTAGTTAGTGGTGTTATTTGTGTGAATCCAGCTCTCCAATGGGTTTCTCATACCTTCTATTATCTATTATTACCCATTTTAGAGACATAAATGAGGTAATCCATATCATCCGTAGTTTCTTATTCTTTGTTATTTTCCGATTTAGAGACGGAAAGGAGGCAGCTCATGTCAACTTTACTTTGTTATGAAGAGTAAAATGAGGTAATTCACTCATCTTCGTGTAAAAGAGGCAATTCGTAAAATAAAGGTAATTCACTTATATTTCCTTTTGACTTTTATCTCATGCTTTCTAAGCCATGAGATTAGAACTAATCTAAAGGCAGTGGTGTTTTTTTGAAGAGAGAAGGAGAAAAGAGTGACATAAAAAAAGAAGTGTGATAGCTCACATAGGATTTTCCCCCTACTTTATAGAAAGAGAAAGTGAGGGTTTTGGGTCATTTTGTTGGGTCTTTAGAGCCCTGTTGCATGCCCTGTTTTGTTGAAAGAAAGAGTAAAGTATCAACCCATTTTGGGTGTGTTAGATGCCTTGTTTCGGGCCATATTTAAAAATAGAGAAGGCTGCTATAATTTGAAGTATTGGGCCTTGTATTTACCTTGTAATCTTCTCAAATTAGTATATAAATCCTTGCATCATTCTCTTGTGGATGTAGGTCACATTTGTAGCTGAACCACATTAAATTGTTGTATTATGTGAAGTGGCTATTGTTGTATTTTCATTCTATGTTGTTGCTTTGATGCCATATTGTTTCCATTAACTATTAATGTTAGCTTGGATGCACAATAACTGCTAATATGATATACCATTGTTGTGTCTCAACTACCATTAGTCACAACAATTGGTATCGGAGCTTCCGCTCACACTCAACAATTGGTATCAGAGCCTTAGGGTTTTGTATTCACTATATTTGTGAAGAAAGAAGCTTTGTTAATGCGTTTGTTTACTGAGTTTAGGGTTTTGTGATTCACTGTATTCGTGAAGAAAGTTTTTTGTTATTATGCTTATTTATTGTAATTTTCTTAAATAGAAAAAGAGCAATAGAATTTGAAAAAACTAAATCAAAGTAATTAGATGGAAGACTAACTTGTTGAGAAATAACTAAATCGGTCACTTTGAGGAAAGGAGGTCATACTTGCTGGAATGAAAAATTGGGAATAAGATATTCTTGATCGAAAATGTTTGGCCGCCATTAGCCCTTGTATTTTGCGCTCAATTTCATATGATGTTTGTCAATATAAAAATCTGCAGAGCCTTGGCAATCATTAGAGCAATCTTTTGAACAACCTTCTGGTGTAAGTAAAATGCATGCGATGAATAAGTTATTTTTTTTCAAAAAAAAAAAAGGTGCAATAATTAGGACATATGTGAGCAAATGTATTCCTATTGTTGCACAATTGAGGTATTTGAAAGTTAATTTAGATGAAAATGTTTTATGTTTGCTCCTATTGAGTTCTTTACCTGCTAGTTGGGAGACCTTGGTTACCACTGTGACAAATATAATAAGTAACAAGTTTAATTTGAATGATGTTGTTGCTTCATTGTTAAATGAAGAACTAGACAAACGTCTACATAAATGCTTGTTGAATCAAATGAAGCATTGATAGTTAAAAACATAGGAAAGACCCAACAAAGCGGCCAATCCTCGGAATATAATAGAGGTAAGTCTCAGTGTGGAGGAAGATCCATGTCACAAGGCAAGAAGGTTGCTTGCTGGTATTATAAGAAACCTAGTCATATAAGAAAAGTTTGTTATGTTTTGAAGAATAACCAAAAGGCCAAGAGCGAGGATAGCCATTCCGAATCAAGTATTGTATCTAATGGTAAAGATGAGGTCACTTTTAGTATGACATGCACAACACTGTCTGCTAAAGACATTTGGTTTTTGGATGCTGGTACTTCATTTCATGTTTGCCTTGAAAGATCGTACTTTCCATTATATACAAGTGTGTATAGTTTTTGTATATATTGGTGATTAATGTGCTTCTAAAATTTTGAGCATTGGAGACATTCATATAAACATGATATGGTTTGGACATTTGAAAATGTGAGACATGTACTGGATTTGAAGAAGAGCTTGATTTCACTTCTTTTTCCAGATATAGAAGGATATAAATTTACCTGGTAAGGTTGAGTGCTTAAAGTTTCAAAAGGGGCTCTAGTGATGATAAGGGAATCCAAGAAGAAAACTTGTATATATTGTTAGGAAGCACAATTATAAACAAAAAGGTAAATTTGATTGTAAAAGAAGAAGAGGATCAACAAGTGGTATTAGAGCTCAAGAGAAGTGTGTAGTAATTTGACAAAATGACTACTTACAAATTTGAAGTAGAGAAGTTTGATAAAAAGAATGATTTGAAATTTTGAAAAATAAAAATTTATGATATATTGGTACAACAAGATCTTTATAAAGCAGTGCTCCCTTGTACATATCTCTCACCATAAGATCTTTATAAAGCAGTGCTCCCTTGTACATATCTCTCACCATAAGATCTTTATAAAGCAGTGCTCCCTTGTACATATCTCTCAACATGTCTATATAACCTCAAGAAAAATACTAATTTTTAGAATGACACTCAAAATTTTAGATCTAGAAAATAATCCTAACCAAATATTCTACTCAAGAAAGTAAGTGTGCAATGTACTCTGCAAAGGTGCACGGTGTACCCTCTTTTCTCTCTCTCTCTCTCTCTCTCTTTGCTTTGATGCCTTTTTTTCCTCCCTTTTTCGTAATTTTATTTAGAAAAAATATACAATAAGATACATTTGGTACAAGGTAGTCACAATTAATCTTAACTATGGGATGTGAAATTGGATGGCTGTATGTATTTCATTAACCAAGCTCAAACTTCAAAATAAATTTTCTCGGACTTTGTTACACACCTAAGCTATCAAATTTCATATTGAGCAGTTCTAAATAATTGTGACCTCCTTATATCGATAAATGGTCTCATTGTACACAATTCCTTTTGTTTGATCCAACCGCATGGGCATCCCATAGAGCGGTCCAATGTATAACAGATCATTGGATCAGTATTTGTTGGCATACCATGTTAATGTTCTGGTCTCTACAATTTGCTAGCAACTCGACAACCGTTGATCTCAACAATGAACAGCTGATTGGGGTTCTTCCAAATGCTACTATGCTTGCCCTATGAAAGAGTGTGAGAGAGACCAAGGATGAACATGTGCAAATCATCAACCATGGGAATGGATGAGAGAGAGAGAGAGAGAGAGAGAGAGAGAGAGAGAGAGAGAGAGAGACAAAAGAGAACGACTAAGTAGTAGAGAGAGACAACGACGAAGAAGAAGTAAGTAACTATACTAGTACGTAAGTAACGTTAACTACGATACTACTAAC